TCCACCACCAAACCACCATTATTCTCCACCATAATCCCAATAGATCACCTTTGTAACAACACTCATCTGTCATTTAAAAAATAGTGAATCACTAAATTATGCATATTTCCATATTTGACATATTTCATTATACAAAATTAAAAAAAATTCATTATTATTATTACCTCAACTTCCTAGCAAAGTCTTTATGTACTAATTACAAAGGTGCACAAGTAAACTTTTCAGGTGATGGAAATGTCAGTATCTTGATAATGATTTCACAGGTATATATAGATGTTAAAAATTAATCAAGTTATACACTTTAAATATGTGTAGGTTTTGTATATAAGTTTATACCTCAATATAAAATAATGTAAAAATGGATAATGTGGTGGATAAAAACTAGGAAAATAGTGTCCATAAGTATAGCCTTGTAAATTATTATAATACTGAATTACAAGGTAAGCACAGTGCGATTCATTTTCCTATAGAAAACACAAATGATTCACATGAGAAAAACAGACATTCAAGCACTTTTCTATTGCCAATACTCACTCTCCACTAAGAAGACCTTTAAGTGGGCATACAGCTTTTAAGCAATACAAACATCTTCAAATCAAACATTTTAAAGATATATTATTCATCACTAGTCTGACACAGGATCAAATTTAAGGCTTCTAGGAAGCTCAAAGATTTTTGTCTCTGCTATCTTTCATCCAATGCTGAAAAACTGTCAACTTCCATTTCCTTCCATCTCTTCCTGGCATATCAATCACTGACAGTATTACCTTCCATAAGGAAGACTTCCATGTCTACATATTAAAATTGGGCAAGATTCAGGAAAGGGCAGCTCAATGCTTTTGGAACTCTGTCCTGGCCCTTACAGACAAAAGAGCACTGAAGATTAGAACACTAAAGTCAGAGTTCAGGGTCTCTTCAGATACAACCCAAAAAGTTCTTTCTTTCCAGCTGAATCACCATCTAGATATGACACTGGAAATCCCTGGCTAGACCATGACAAATCTTTTTTTATATATATATTTTTTATTTTATATATTCTTTACATCATTTTTTATTTTTGCACAATGTATGCTTTTTCATCTTGGTTATAGTTCCCATACAATTCCCACCCCCCCCTTATTTTGACCATAATCCCTCCTATCCCCCTACACACACCCCATAGTGTGTCTCTGGCTTATAGTTGCTTGTTGCTTGTTGATTTTTACTTAATTATAATTAGTCTTTCTCCTGGTCCCTTATTTAGATTTTCTAAATTCCTGCTATGAGTGAGACCATCCAGTATTTTTCTTTTTCTTTCTGGCTTATTTCGCTGAGCATGATCCCTTCCAGCTCCATCCATGTTGTTGCAAATTGCATGAGTATATACACAATGGAATACTACTCAGCAATCAAAAAAAGATAAACCCATGACAAATCTTTTAAGACTTATAGGACTGATATAAGGTATCTAGGTCTCCTAATGGTGACTCTCAAAAAGGAGGGACATCTGGTTAGAGTAATTTATTGATTCAAATTACTCAGCATTTTCCATGTTGTTTCAGCCCATAGAGTCTGAGTAGATACCTTGTTGGTCTGGCACATGATACAGACTTAACTGATAATACTGATAGCTATGATGACTGTAACTTACCTGACTATGGCCATTTCTGTCTTCCATAACCATATCTATGCAGGCCTGTATGTTTCCATTTGAGCTTATGTTTGGCCCAACACTAATTCCCTCATCACCTTCTGCTACAGTTTGGAGCCAATTGAAGGTTTATATACTTCAGGATTCAATCCTGAATCATTTTGTCAAGTATTCCAACTTTATCTTCCTTCTTTTTATTCTGCAATCATTCTACTCCACCTCCCCTACCAGATATTCACTTCCTCATTATGTAAGACTATGTCTATCACCTTTCCTACCTCCATCTCCAACTCCTCATATACCCAAACCTAGCAAGCTCCCCCTCTGCAGCTTCCTCAGCTAACTAGACTACAGGTTCAATCAAGGCATCTTCAGTCACTAATACTAATGTCACACTGGCTTCCAACACATTGATTACCTTACCCTACAAATCATATCTATCGTTCCAGGCAAGTGTCCTTTCTCTACTATCCATCTGTCTATTCCTCATCTCATCCTATTATTCTGAGCTCTGTGACGCCTCACCTCCATACTCTCCCCAAAGGTAAAAGTATATGTATCTATCATTTTGTCCTATCAAAGTCCATTATTAATATATATTATGTATTCATCTATTCCTCCTCTCTCTCCATCTCTCAGACATAGTCTTTGCTGCCCATAAGAGTGCCTTTTATGTCACTCTTATGCGCTATATCTTATACTTCCCTATTTTTCATGATAGCTAAGAGAGAGGTACACACATTATATATACTCAATACTTTCATAAAATTAGTGACATACAATTATTACACCCTAAAATTTGAGATTTCCAGAAAATCATTGCTTTCAGCTCTGCTTACGGAAGTTATAAAGAAATACACTGGTCTGCAGAAAAATAAAATAAAACAACCTTCTATCCCTTTCCAAATTCCCGACTGCCTTCTGTAAGATATGTCTGACAGTTGAAAGTAAACCAGTCTTTGCAAGCACTAAATTGCTCATCAATCTTACAAAGGGTGTCATTTAGTCAATTACTTTCCCTAAGGAAATATAAATGGAATATAGCTTCTGGAGAAAAATTAATTCACCCAACTTCAGTAAGGAGCTTATAAAGAATAACTTTCACCACTCTAGGATATCTGAACCATATTTCATTCCTGGTTTTACCAGGAATAACAGGTTTTGTACTTTTTATTTGATTTAAGCTGATTGGTGCAGTTAAATGTATATGGAATTGTAGCCTAATAATAAGTGGGCATAATACCACCCAACTTTTGAATATGAGAGAACTAAAATGTAGTGCCTTTTCTTGTATCTGAAAATACAAATATTGCCTCCATATCCTATCAAACTCTTCTAAGGTGGCTTATTAAGAAAATATGAAAAAGAACCATGTCAGTGAAAAACTTGGAAACTAAGTGTATAGTCATTGAAATTTAAAAACAAATCCCCTAAATGATGTAATTGAGAAAGCTGAAAAGAAAATCAGTGATTTGTAGTCTAGCACTTTCTAAAAATGCACCATTAACAAATTAAGACATAGGAAATAGGCAAATAAAATAAACTCTCTCCCCAGAAAAATTCACATATGTACCCACATATAAAGTTTTATAAACAACTTCAGAAGGTCCCTAGAGTCCCTGATGCCCCATTTCTACCCTGGAATTCTCAATACAAAACATCTTAAGATCTGACATCATTCCCACTCTATTAATATGTATAGTAAATACTAAATTTGAGTTAAGGTCAAATCAAAGAGAAGGCAAACCAATGTAAGCCAATTAAATCTGATTAAAAAAAGGTTTTTTTAAAAATAATATTAAAGGGTTGATATGGGGATATAAAATTGGTAGAGTTTGAAAGAACCCAAATTGCTCTAGAAAAGGCTAAGAAATAAAGAAGCTTGAGGGAGAGCTAGAGAATTGACTAAATAAGGAGAATTTTAAAGACTAAGCTGGAAAAGAGCAGTAAGAAAAAATCTAGTGCCTGAATTATAGTAATTTGGGGCGAGCTGAACAGAGTTATCTAATGGCAGTACAGGAGACATGGCGTAAGCTGTATAGTGCTAGTCCACTGATACCTTCAGTAAAATCTACATATTGTTCATTTTTTTGTTCTTTTTTTTTAATAGGTGTGGGAAAGGCAATGAATTACTGAGTTCTTTAAGGCTGACCTCAAGTAATTATAGAGAAGATATGGAAAGTTAGCCAAAATCTATATTATACAAGGATTTAAATTTGCCTTTACAAGGAACCTAAACAGAAATGCCTCGTCTGCCTCAAAATTTTGCTGAAAGACAGCTCTTCTTATAAAGATTCTGAAGAAAAAAAAAAAATCTTCCTTAAAATAAATTTGAAATGTTTCAGAACATAAATTTCAAATGCATTCTGAATGTCTTCTGTTCAAGATGGCTAAGATATTTGGAAGATAAAATGATGACTTCTCTGAAGATCTCTAGAGAGAAAATGGAAATGAAGTGTTTGCTGGATATTTTTCAAATGCTTTAATAAACTTCAGTATTAAGATTCTTTTGTGATGTACATTTCCATAGGTTTTCTTCAAGCTGATGTGGAGAGAAATAATCTTGTTTGAAGACCTTGAAATATTTAGATAAATGCATTTATGTTCTTTGAGTACTTTCAGGTTACTTCAATGGTATACAAATCAGATTATCTTGAAGTTCACAATTTTATGAGAATTGTGCCTGGTTTGAAATTGTATATGTGAATCCTAACAAATCAGGCTCCTTTGAAATACATTCACATAGTAAATGGTGGGGAACAACCCTGTTTTGGTTTTTTAAATCTTCATTTAGTGTACATTTTCCACTTGGAAATATAATTGTGTGTGAGTCTGTCTCATCACCTGCCTTGTTCCTGACAGGATGGTGTAGGCATTTATGCATGAATCTTTCTTTCCCCTGTAAATATGTTTTCCTTATAGAATAAACTGAAGGATAAGTTCTCAATCTTTGTAAGCCATGAACAGGTTTCTCTTCTCAGACTGAAACTTTCTGAACTGAGATATTTTATTCCTAAATAAAAGCAACAAATATGAAAATGCCTGGAGTAGAATGGTGTGGTCATGTAGGCTGTCACTGGAGAAAATGATTTCTTCTTATTCATTAAAATCAAACTAAAATGCATTATGAATCAACATTTTAAGTCTTAATTATATCGAAAGCACAAAAGTGTAAATGCTATAGGTACTAAAATTTTCATTGATAATATGAGTATTAATGTTTACAAAATTTTCAATGTATTATTGCCAAAGCATAATAGTTAAGAAAATATGTTATTGAGAAAAACATCTACAACTAGTTTTAAATATCCGCCAAAATAAAATGATGTAAGGAAATCAAAAATAAAAATAATTTTTAAATGGCACTCACCAATCACAATGGAAGACTCACAGTGATAATAACCATTACTTTGTTTTTTCTTCAGCATGGAACAAAGATCTATACGATACACCATTTCTTCTCCAAATTTGTGACTGATAAATTTTTCATAAATTTCACGATCTATTTTTTTCAATCCCTTGAAATAACGAAATAAAATTATGTCAATCAGTCATTTTACCTAGGTAAGTTCTTATTCATATCACTTTTTTCAGAACCTGATGATACATGTTGATATACCTATTTGCCTACTAGCATTTGAAAACAGATTAACACAAAATTGTCATAAAGAAGTTTCAGTCTCTGTCTAGGATAATTAAAAAGAAAATCATTTAGAGCATTGATTTTGTATTTTGGCAGAATTCAGAACTTCATATACTCTAAGCTTCAGAAACAAAGTATATTAAGTTGGAATATAAATTATAAAGGATAGAGTAATCATCTTCAACAGAGAAATGGGTGTTTTTAAGTAACACAAATCTTAACATTTTATAATGTGAAAAATGTTCTATTAGGTGTACTCAATTTTAAATTCCTTGCATAAAGAATGAAAGACAATTAAGATTATTTGAATTGGAGCATAGGGATCCATGAATCCTCCAAGTACTTCTCTAACTGCCCCTCCCATTTTTCAGTGTGCTTTCACAACAGGAAGAGGGCTAGTTTCTGAAAAACCACAGTGGGATGCCTTAGTAGCTCTATAGTTTCCCAGAACATGGGAAAGAATATCTCGCCCACCCTTACTATACAATATGCCAGCACCCTGCTCAGTATCCCAAAACACAGTCAATATATTACAGGGCAAGCTTTCTGGCTTGACTAAGTGTGAACTTTTCCTTTTAATTTATATATTTTTTATATTTCTCTAGCAATACTTGTCATTTGCTAAAAATAAGAAAATATGAAGAATCTAGGGGAAAAAAATGATTCATGACCTTACTATTTATTTAAGATACATTAAGGCTGTGTTATAGATCCTTTAGGTCTTTTTCAATACATATATATTATTTTCAGATCACACTTATATAAATCTTACCAAACTGTGATTAGAATACTTATTTCCCCCTTTTTTATTCACAAGAAATTTTACTGCAAAAATTTTTAGATATAAAAACAAAAACTTAAAATTAAATCACCCCAAACTGCTACTACTATAATTTTGATATATATTTTTCTTACGCAAAACAAAGTACATTTTTCTCTTTGGAATGTGGCTGTTCTATGAGTAGCATTTAATAACCTGTTTTTTCTCAGTTAATATTTCATGTCCATTAGTAATATATAGATATATAAAATATTTTATGTCTCATAGTATACCATTTTTTAGCGATATCCTAATTTAGTCATCTCATCCTTTACTGGAGGGCAGTTAGATTGCTCTAAATTTTTTGCATTATATTTAATATGTTGTTGTTGATGTGTTTTTGTTCTATGTCCAAAATGAGCTCCTGATCTTTCCTAACTGCTCCACTCACAGACTTTTCCATCTCAGCTAACAGTAACTTTTAAAAGTGGCTAAGACTAAAAGCCTTGGGGTCATCCTTGATTGTTCTATTCTCTCAGTCCCACATCCAATCAAATTCTGTTGGCTCTATCTTCAAAACATACCCAGTTCTTCATTACCTTTGAGCAGCCTCTGTTTCTGTCTTTCACCAGAATTTTGCAAATGACCTCTTATTTTCCCACCCTCATCCCTCCTTCAGCCAGAGTGATGCTATAAAGTGACACATCATATCAGGTCATTCTGCTGCTCAATCCAGTGTCCTTATTTCTCTCAAAGGAAGGACCCAGTTCCCCAAACATTCTACAAAGTACTGCTTTGCCCGTTGCTGTGCTTCTTGGGTCTTGTCTCCTACTACTTTCTCTTTCATCCCCTCCAATCTCCTGACTTCACTGCTCTTCCTTGACATGACAAGCACAACCCCACCTCAAGCCTTTGATTTGCCTCTTGCACAACCCCACCTCAAAGCCTTTGATTTGCTTCTTGCCTTTTTTTTTTTTTTTCCCCTTTTTTTAGGAGTGATCTTCCCCCAGATATCTTCAAGGGCCATCTCGCATCTGCTTTCATACCTTGCCCAAACATTACTTTCTTAATAGGGTCTCACCTGATCACCCTCTTTTATTTGCACTTCTGCCCCAAGAGGTACTCCCAAATTCTCTCTACCCTTGTCTGTATAGATGTTTATGCAAATTCCTCCAAGGTATTTACTATCTTCAAACAAATTAGGTAATTAACATTTTATGATGTCTGTCATGATCTGTCTCCCTATTAGAATGTAAGTCCCACACAGGTAAGGATTTTGTTTGATTTTTATTCACTGAAATATCCCCAAAGCCTGGATAGTACTTGACAAATGGTACTGCTCAATAAATAACTGTCACAAATGTAGAGAAGGATAGTTTCCAGGAGAGAACAGTTGACATCAAATGATATTCATAATCCAGTAAGAATGAAACTGGGTGGATTTTTTTGATTTGTTAAGTAGAACATCTCAAGAGAAACAGCAGAGCATAATGCTGTGGAGCAGTCGGAATATATGAGTTCAAATCCTGACTCTGACACTTTTTAGCCATGAAAAGTGTTTTACCTCAGCACTCTCATCTGTAAAATGGGTTTGTACCTACCACAAAGTGTCAAATGAATTAAATAAGAAAAATTTTAAAAAGTGCTGAACACTGGGCCTCCCTGGTGGCACAGGTAGTTGAGCACTGCACTGTGAAGCTGTTCGCAGCCTCTGCAGCATGGGTTCGATCTTGGCCAGCCGGCGAGAATCCCACATGGCGCGCAGACCTCTTCTGTCTTGCCCACTGCTCCCTTCAGCAGTGTGTTTTGTCGGTCTGTCTGCTCTGTTCCCCACTCTTTCTCTGGTGAATCCTCTCACTCTCCCGCACATCTGGCCTGTACCCCAGCACTTGTATAAATAAAAAATAAATCTAAAAAAAAAAAAAGTACTGAACACTGACATAATAAACGTCATGATATATAAAATCATTATGGAACTTTAGGAAATAATTTAAGTAGAGATAAGATTTTAGAAACTTTTAAAAAGAATCTGAATAAATGGAAAATGACCATTCTTATTTCTCTTTTAAAAACTTGTGGGTGTGTTGAGGTAGGGACATGTTTTTCCCAGAGAACAAATAGGAAAAGACTAGTGATAACTTAGCAGAAAAAACAGGATATTCAGTTTTCAAAATGACTAGCCATTTATAATCTCTATTTCAGTTCTATAAGATACTATTTTTTTTAAGTAATATGTAAAGGAAACATACAAATAGAGCTAACCTTGGTAGGCTAGTTAATTTAACTTTAGCAAAAAGTAAGTACAAATCATTTTGCAAGAATTCTTCACAGGTTATTTCCAACATTAAGGAACTAATTTTCATAAGAGTGGAAAGAATTCAATTCATTGACTCACAAATTATAGAGAGACTAGTGGTTCAAAGAGGCATGATGTCCTGATCAGAAAACATCAATAATAATGTATCTAGAAATCAGTAAGAATCTGCTTTATCTGATGTATATTATTAGCATGATCTTTGTTCTCTGAAGAATTTTTTTGTTTGGCAATATATTTCTTTTCTAGTAAAATCTATCTGAACTAGTCTCATCATCCAGCTGCAGCAAGTGATGTTTTTCTTTCATAATAAAAGGATTATCCTCCTAAGAAAATAAATGAGTGTATCAAAATTGGATATCATTTAGGGTAAGGCTAAGAAGTCTACTATTTTCTAAGTAACTCCATGTGTTGCTAAAAATAGTCCCAGAAACATAACCCTACAGGTTATATTTTAAAGGTAAAAAAGCTGGTGATGGCATTATTTTCAGCTTTTGGCCCCTGAAATTATTCCATTTTCCTTCTTCACAGTTCAGGTTCTCTCTGAGGAATCTTGTTATTTAAAGATTGATGGAGGTATAATATGTTAGGAGAATCCAAAGAAAAACACAAAAGTGGCTAATGTTAGGGAAATTTGACCTGTAAGGAGAGAATTGGGATTGTCTCAAATGTTGAGAAACATTATATGGGGTGTCATCAACAAAACTATGCTAAAGGAGTTGTAATCCTGGAATTCTGTGTATGCTGGATGAGAGTCTGGTACTATGTTTAAAAACCACTTTTGCCTTGGACCTAACAAGGCCAGGGTATACTTTTAAAGACTTCATATTTACAAGTGTACTAAATATAGATGATATATCCACTATGCATCATAACAATGAAGAAGAAATTAGGACACTAAATACAGGATCAGATTTTGAAATAATAAATTAGTGGCAAAAAACAGCAAACAAAAATTTTTTGAGACTGCTTAGTTATTATGAGCTGACTAAAGTTTTACTTTTCTTTAGCCTGGTCTTAGTCACAGATGAAAGAGAATTAACAATTAGATACTTTGATAACCTCTGATACAATGTACCATGAAACACTGATTTAATGTGGCACCCCAACAGCCAACACTGGAAAATGCCATCAAGAGCCTGGTGAGTATTTTTAGAATCTGATGGCTGCATCTGATAAGTAATGGAAATTATTTACTCAGGAAGCACTCACCATATCATTTATATTTAGCTAAATCATGTCTATAATTTAATATATTCCAAAGAGGGCTCAGACTTACATTACTATGCACCCAATTCTATTTTCAATATAGAAAGTAAACAGAGCCAAGAAATATGAAATTTCACTTTAGTTAACAATTTGAATGTGAAAATAATTCATTTAAGGTTCTGGAAGATAAAATACTTAGTATTCATCTTTAATTTTCACAAGTTATTTATCACAGAAAGAATAGAATAGCAGTTTTATCAGGAGGGTTAAATTTTTTTGTAACAGCAGATCATTTATCATTGTCATCCTATTGTAAAATTGCAACATACAAACAGGCTGCCACTCAGACAAAAACAAGCGTGTCCCACTGGTGGTAACTTAAAATTCCTGGAGTTCGCTGTTTTCCAATAGATTATTCCTGTCACATAGTAGTTAGAAAAGAATGTATAGTTCCTGTAATAGGATATGAAACCAAAATGTAAGTTAGGAGCCAAGCCAAACTGGCTTGTCACTTTGGGCCTCAGCTGGCTAAAGAGAAATAGGTGGTACTCTTCTACCCCCATTTTCATAAGGAAAAAGGGGTTACATATCC